CTTGCTCATGCTCTGTCTCTCAAATAAATAAATAAACCTTAAAAATAAATCTCTACCTTTTTTTTTTTTTGATTCTCCTTACGTTGGCCACCTATTCTTGCACGTTGTCTACTTCATCCATGAGCGTGCTTGCCACAGTGATCGTCGGAGCTGTAAATCCCCAGTGTCATAAATCCAGCATCCCTGCCCTATCTGTGCCCTAATTTGTGTTTGTCTCTCACTACTGTACTGTAAATATGCTTATAAAGGACATTACTCCTTTCCTTCCAGAAGAATCTGATGGCCTTTCCTTAATCCCCTTTTATCTTCTCAGAAAAAATCAATCGAGTTCACTGTCCTTTATGAAGCCATCTTCTCAGGCTGTGCGTGACAGTGCAAAGCTCTGATTCAGCTAATTTTCTGACTACTTCACAGGTTCCTTTCATGGTTTACGTTTGTGCCTCTTAATAATAGGTATCTGTGAAGAATTGTCTCCTCAGAGGTTGTTTTGGTTTATAGGTTGAATATCCCTCTTAGCTTTTATGCCTGTAATTATTTGAAAAGTAGATACTATCACTTACTGTTCCAAATATTAGAGTGGTGGCTTTATCTCACCTTTTTTCTTTAAGTAATTTCCAGGGTTTAGTTGAAAAAAAAAAAAACTGGGGTGCCTGGGTGGCTCAGTGGGTCAAGCCTCTGCCTTCGGCTCAGGTCATGATCTCACGGTCCTGGGATCGAGCCCCACATCGGGCTCTCTGCTTGGCGGGGAGCCTGCTTCCCCATCTCTCTCTGCCTGCCTCTCTGCCTACTTGTGATCTCTCTCTGTCAAATAAACAAATAAACTCTTAAAAAAAAAAACACACACACACTGGCCGGACTAATCTTCAAAAACTCCTGTCAGGGCGCCTGGGTGGCTCAGTCAGTTGGACGTTGGACTCTTGATTTCAGCTCAGGTTGTGATCTCTTGGGTCATGGGATTGAGCCCTATGTTGGACTCTGTACTCAGTGGGGAGCCTGCGTGAAGATTCTCTCCCTCTGCCCCTCCCTCTACTCTCTCTTTCTCTCTCTAAAATAAATGAATAAATCTTTAAAAAAATAATTTAAAAAAACCCTGCTGTCATTGTGGCATTCTCATAAGAAAACCACCAGCATCTGTCCACTCACCAGACATTCATCAGGCATATAATGTGTGCCAGGAATTGAGGGCTCAGAGGTTAAAGACTTCAGTCTCTAATCTCCGGAAGCTCAGAGGCTTCTGATGTGATGTGATGTGATGGGTCAATGCAGACACAGCATGGGAGCAGTGGTGAAGAGGGAGCTCTGAGGCTGGGTTTAATCCTGGCTCTGTCACATACTGGCTCTGCAGCCTTGCACGAATGTCTTAATCTCTTGAAGCCAGCACTGACCAGTAGAAATAAAATGCAACCCGCATGTGTAATTTTAAATTTTCTGGTAGTCAGGCTTAAGAAAACTAATGAAAAAGAGGTACATTTAATTTTAAGAATATCTTTGATTGAATCTCAGATGCCTAAAACATTTTAATGATTAATCAATATAAAACTTATTACTGAGATATTTGCCCTTTCTTTCTTGACTCTTCAAAATCTGGTGTGTATTTTACACTCGCTGCACACCTCAGTTTGGTGTAGGCATATTTCTAGTGCGCAGCAGCTGCACGGGGCTGGAGGTTACTGCGTGGGATTGTACAATTTTATGTCCCTCTTCCTCACTCATAAAATGAAGATAATAACAGCTTCTACCTGCTGGAGTTCCAGTAGGGATTAGTGATTAAATATGTGTAAAGTACTTAGAACAGTGATGGTTCTAAGCATGACAAGCATTTATTTAATATTAGCTGTTATTATTTATAGGAACAATTATTTTATTATTATAGAGGTGATGAGAATATAGATAACGAGCTTAGAGTGGGTGATGTTCGAACTGAATCCTGAAGAGTGAGCAGGAATTAGCTCAGCTATCAGCAGGTGGTAGACGGGGAGTTCTAGATAAAAGGTCGGCATGTGCTGGGAGACGTGAGAAGTGTGATAAATGACTAGGAAGTAAACCCAGTGTGGTGGGATGTAAGGCATGTGTGAGTGACAAACGGTGAGGCTGGGTAGGCAATGGATCAAAATGTTAAGGACCTGTATCTGAAAAGTACGAGAAGAATTTAAGTATTTGGGGGAAAAAATAGCGCTATAAGTGGTATTGAGGATTGGAAAGAGGCCAAATGGGGGGCTTTCCCTCACGTCGCACAGATAGTCAGTTGAAGGCTGGGATTAAAACTTGGGATTTTCTGTGTCTTTAATCATTATCATCTGCTCCGTCTTTTTCCCAGGCCAGTAGAGCTGAAGCCTGGACTCTGGAATTCCAGCTTGTAACTTGAGGCACGTGACTTCAACACCCTGAACCTCTCCCGAAATGAAGATTCTGCTTCCACCTCCTGGGCTTGTTAGGAGAATTAACCATACCAATATGGTGAGTCGGCTTGGCATAAACTCACTGAGTATTAACCCCACACCCACACAAGTCATTCACATTTCCTTCCTCCAAGACATGGAACACCAACTCTGGAGACACACATATGCACACACGACGTAATGGGTAAACAGTGTAAGGCACTGCTTTTAAAGACTAGAATTAGAAGTTAAAACAGTATAGTAAATACTGTGGGAGACCAGGAAAATGAGAGTTAGGAATGTCATGGGACTAGTGTAATTTTAGTGGGACTCTGAGATATGGTCAAGAATTAGAAGGGCAGAATAAGGAAGGCAAGAAAGGCTTTGGGGGCAGGAGAAGCAATAATAAACTAGTGAATGAGAAATGAATGTTGAATGTTAAAATTATTAATTCCTCGTGCTTAATGCTTATTTCATGCTATGATCTAGGGTTTGCACTGAAAACAAGTTTAAGCAAAAATTTGCTTCCTGAGGCACCTGGGGGGGCTCAGTCGATGAAGAGGCCAATTCTTGGTTTTGGCTCAGGTCATGATCTCAGGGTCATGAGATGGAGCCCCACATCAGGCTCTGTGTGCAGCGTGGAGTCTGCTTGAGATCCTCTCTCCCTCTGCCCCTCCTCCTGCAGTGCTCGCTCTAAATAAATAAGTAAATAAAATCTTTCAAAAAATCTACTCACCCAGTTCTTCTTTTCAGTTGACTCAGAAGATGGGCAGTCAGGCTTCCACATACTCACCCCCTCCTCCCTAAGTACAAGGTCCGAGTATTTCATTTTGGGGAGACTAATCAGCCCCAAATAAAATGCTGTAGGTGCCAACATTTTGGGGTCATCTATTAAAACAGCCAGGTCCCTGCCCAGCAATCCTGCAGTGAAACCCATTGTGTATCATGTCCTTCCACCCGAACACTTAACTTTCAATCAGCATGTTAGTGACTCACTCTTAAGTATGAACCCATAGGGACGCCTGTGTGTCTCAGCTGGTTGGGCAGCCACCTTCGGCTCAGGTCATGATCCCAGCATCCTGGGATCGAGTCCCACATCTTGCTTGGCAGGGAGCCTGCTTCTCCCTCTGCCTCTGCCTGCCATTCTGTCTGCCTGTGGTTGCTCTCTCTCTCTTTCTCTCTCTTTGTCTGACAAATAATAAGTAAATAAAAATCTTTAAAAAAAAAAAGTATGAACCCATAGTTAAAGACAACTTCCAGGTATGCTGATACATAAAAAGAAGGGTCATCTCTCCTTTGCCCTCTATGCTTAATGTTTCTTATCTTTTCTGTCCATGACAGAAAAGTAAAGTAAAAAAGAAACGTCATTGGAAAGCCATGAGAATTATTTTTCATTTAAAAAAAGTAAGATTTTCCCTTTTCAACCTTTTCTTTTTTTTAGACCTAGTTTCTGCACTTCTTACATTAACTGTAAAGCAACAACATCAGCAGCAGTTATTCAACAAAGAGGAAGCTGGTAAACATATTGCTTTGTGTAAGTCAAGAAACCAAATTTAAAGAAAAGTTTGGGTCTCTTAAGATTTTATTTTGATATAATCTCTACGCCCAGTGTGGGGCTTGAATCACAACCCTGAGATCAAGAGTTGCACATTCCACTGACTGAGCCAGCCAGATACCCCCAAAAGAAAAGGTTTTTTAAGGCTTTAGGATAATAGTTTAAATGTTGATGAAGTAAGTTTTCTCACAGAAGACTTCATAAAAGCCATTTCTCTTTGATAACAGTTTCCTTTCTAAATACCTGATCATCTTCATGTTTTTCTCTTTTCTAATCTCTACAGTTAAGCCTTTTTCCAAATCACCTTCTCACCTGACAGTGTTTGTTCCATTCTCTTTGATTACTTTGTTTTAAATCAGACAGACCCTTTCACACCACTGGCATTTCCAGCTAACCCCTCCTTAGATTACTAGGTTACATTTATATCCCCAGTGTTGTATGTTCTCAGTATTTACAATTTCATTACCCCATTTCTCATAGAACAGTTTCTTTTCTTTCAGCATTGAACACATAGCAGATTTGTATTTTTATGTCTTTTAGATGGCACATCTGGACCTAAAGCCAAGAAATCAAAAGTAGAGCAGCAGGACATTTTCAAAGATGGCCCATCCCAAGGAGTAAACACAGAAGAACTTAAAAAGAGAAAGTCTCTACTGGGAGATACCTGGAAGTCTAGACAACAGTGTAAGAATCAGCACTTAAACCAGGAGAAGTATCTGGGACAAGATAAAAGTCACCTGTATGGAACCTGCCAAAGAAGGAGATATAGCATCTAAGAATTTGGAATCGTTTTCACTATACAGTCAGTAGTTTCAGAGCAGAGTGATCCTATAGAAGAGTGTTTTCATGAACCTGGTACACATGGAAAAATCCTCAAACAAAACTCAGACTTCATTATACAAAGGAAGTGTGATGGAAAGAAACCTTGCAGATGTGGTAGATGTGGGAAAACCTTCAGAGACCGCACTGCTCTTGTTCAACATGAAAGAACTCACACTGGAGAGCGACCCTATAAATGTAATGTGTGTGGAAAGGGATTTAATAGAGGTCCCACCTAACAAACCATCAGAAGACTCATACAGGAGAAAGGCCCTACAAGTGCAATGAATGTGGGAAGGCCTTCAGTCAGAGTGCACATCGTACCCAACATCAGAGAATTCATACAGGAGAAAAGCCCTATGAATGTAATGACTGTGGGAAAGCTTGCAGTGACCACTCAGCTCTTATTCAACATCATATCACCCACGCTGGGGAGAAACCTTATGAATGTAATGACTGTGGGAAAGCTTTCAGTTACTGCTCAAACCTCATTCAGCATCAGAGAACGCATACCGGAGAGAAACCATACAAATGTGGTGAATGCGAGAAAGCCTTTAGTGATCGTATAGCCCTTATTCAGCATCAGAGGCTATCGAATAGCCCTTATTCAGCATCAGAGAACTCACACTGGAGAGAAGCCCTATGAGTGTAGTGAATGTGGAAAAGCCTTTGGAAACTACTCAGCTTGTATTCGACATCAGAAAACTCATACTGGAGAGAAGCCCTATGAGTGTAAGGAATGTGGAAAAACCTTTAGCAGAAGTACATGCCTTACTCAACATCAGAGAAGTCATACAGGTGATGAACCATATAAATGTAAGGAATGTGGGAAAATTTTCACCCAGAGTTCATTCCTCACACGACACATGAGGGTTCATATGGGAGAAAAACCCTACAAATGTAATGAATGTGAGAAAGTGTTCAGGGATCGCTCAGGGCATATTCAGCACCAGAGAACTCACACTGGAGAGAAGCTGTATGACTGCAGTGATTGTGGGAAAGCTTTCGGTTTCTGTTTGTCTCTTACTCAAAATAAAAGAATTCATACAGGAGGAAGCCCTATAAATGCAAGGACTGCGGAAAAGCCTTTAGTGATAGGTCAACACTTATTCAGCATCAGAGAACGCACACCAGAGAGAAGCCCTATGAATGTAACATGTGGAAAAGGCTTCAGTCAGAATAGAAACCTTACAAATCACCAGAAAACTCATTCCACTGAAAAATCCTACACATGCAGTGAACGTGGAAAAGCCTTTAGTTACTGCTCAGGCCTTTTTCGACATCAAATCATTCATACTGGAGAGAAACTTTATGAGTGCAGTAAATGTGGGAGAGCCTTCAGTCAGAGGACAGACCTTAAAAAACATCAGAAAACGCATACCGAAGAGAAACTCCACGAATGTAATGAATGTGGAAAACCCTTCAGCCGGAGCACATATCTTACAAAACACCAGAAAGTTCATAGTGGAGAAAAAGCAAATATACGTACTGAGTGTAGGAAAACCTTTAGACAAAACTCCTCTATTCAACATGAAAAATCTTGCACTGTAGAGAAATCCTCTGAATGCCTTGAGGGTCTGGTGACTGTGGAGACCCTCCCCAGGGAAACAGGAGGAGGATCATGAAAACTGTTCACTAGAGTGGCCACTTGATTTAGTGGGAAGAGCACATGTCTGGGGTTTAGAGGTCCTGGATTCAAATCTCAGCTCTGTGACCAACCAGGTCTATTATTTGTTTTAGAGTAAGTCACTTTACCTCCTCTTACCTTAATTCGCTCACCTGAAATATTGGGAGGCCTGATTCATTGATCTTTAAGATCCACCTTTATTTTATTTATTACCAGTGAAGGTTTTTATAGATGTGACTCTCAAATTGTGACTTATTTATTCTGCAACAGGTCTGATTTACAGTGTGAAGATGTAGTAGTCATTAGGAGTTCAGTAAAGATATAGACTAAGTTGCTATTTATTATCTTTGAATTGGTCCTTCAAGATTAAAGATACCATGAGTACTCAGGAGATTAAGAGATAAAATAGGGTAAATTATGCTAATTATTGCAGTAGGAAGGTTGGGGTCTTGATTAAGAATATGGTGTTTGATAAATCCTCAAAAAGAACAAATCAAACTGTTGGTAAAGGCTGGGTACCTAGAAGGCACCCAAATTTAATGTTGCAGTGTAGATCGTCTCTATTAAGTAGAACTGGTCTCTATCATGTCTCAGGTGAAAAGGAACTAGAAAACAGTTGTAAAGTCTTGAGCAGGTTACCAAGAAAAGATGAAACTGGAAAATGGATTTGTTTCCATACCTTAAATGTGTAAAGACCATGTGAATGAGAGTAAATCTTGAGATCCCATACATCTAGAAAAGTCTCTTGGTCTCTTGTCTTTGTCCTGTGATTAGAGAAAATGGCCTGAAAATATGAAGATTTATCTCAGAAACCTGTGATTTTAAGTCGACCAGTTACTCTTTTCTGAATTTCCTGTGATGCCTCTGAATTGTTTTATAATCACTTACCCCTTTTCAAGCCAGTAGAAATGAAAAATAACATCTCTTTCCCAAGAGGGGGGTACCTGGAAGTTTTGTGCATTATTTTACTCCCATCCCATTAACCATAAATGGGTCATATGACCTCATGTGCTGGAGTTGGAAGCCTTTTTGAAAAGCATTTGATAACTAAACAAATTGAATGGTTTTGGAAAAGGAGTATACTTTAGTGAATTATGCAATGAATTTAAAACCAGGAGTCCAGGGCACCTGGGTGGCTCAGTGGGTTAAAGCCTCTGCCTTCAGCTCAGGTCATGATCTCAGGGTCCTGGGATTGAGCCCCGCATCGGGCTCTCTGCTCAGTGGGGAGCCTGCTTCCCTTCCTCTCTCTCTGCCTGTCTGTCTGCCTACTTGTGATCTCTGTCTGTCAAATAAATAAATAAAATCTTTTAAAAAAATGTTTAAAAAAAAAATAAAACCAGGAGCCCAAGTGTAAGAGCCTGTCATTGAGCTGCTACCCTATGACTTTGCTCGTGTTGCTTTCTCAGCCTGTTCGCATGGACAGCAGACACCACTCGCCCTTTGAGATATATTTCAGCCAGCCGGTTCCCACGTTTTCGCCTGCTTCCCAATACTTTGACCATATGCTGACTTCAGTCGGAATACCCTCCTTCTTTCCCTTCCTAATTCCTGCCTCTCAGATTCCATGTTATGGTTTGGCACACACATAGCCTTGGGTGGTGGTGACGATTTGCCTTCATCAACTGCTTTCAGCACTCATCTCTTTTTTCTTTGAATCTCTGTAGCATTTATTCGCACGGAATTTCGTACTTAGTGGTTCCTCAATGTTCAATAATCGCCTTAAAGGTAAGCTCCGCTCCTTGGAGTTTTCTCACTTTGTGGAAGCTAAGCAGAAGGAGAAATAGAGTACATGCTCAGTAAACCTTCACTGACCGAGGAAGCGTGCTGTAGTAACAAGACCACGACGAACACAGGTGCTTTATCTTTGCAAGGTGACTCTTCCAACTCTGTTTTGTTCCAGCCATGGGTATATAACTGCACTTCCTTTTTAGAGTGTATGTATTTAAAATGAATTAAAAATGTATAGTGATTATAGTGATACTGTACAGCAGTCGTATTTTTCTTCTTCATATAGCTATTTTCAAACAGGATATGGTTCCCCACAATAATTTCTAATATCTATGCTGAACACCACTATCCTGGGAGTTTTTTAACTTGACATCCTTGATCTTCTCCAGCAACTCGATGCTGGATTTCAGTTTTGGATGCCGGACTTTCACACATAGTTATTCTGGCATTTTCTTCCTTAGCTTGCTTTGGAGATAACTGCTAACTTATTGAATCACTCATTCACTTCGGTCTCTGCTGAATATCAGTTTCCTGTCTCTGTTTACAATAGAAGCTCCATTAGTTTTTATAAATGTAAGATCACTGCTTCCATTTTCTCTTTACCTGAGTTTTAATATACTGAGGTTAATTGTTATACATGGTTGATTTTCTTTATGGACCCCTTTGCAGCCAGGTTCGACTCTGTATTCAAAGAGGTTGCTTCCGTGAGGATTATGGGTATCTCTTACAACAGGCCCAGATCAGTGGTTATCCAGACTGTAGACATGAGCAACCCAGGGTTACCTGGGCATGGGAACGCCAAGATATCAGGAACATAGGCTCTCAATCATGTCACTGCACAATTCTTGAAGCATGTTTCTGTCTGACATCCAGGCATCTTATCCCTTTTCAAGCCAGCAGAAAGGAAAAGACATCTCTTTCACAGTAGGGTTGTAACTTGGAAGTTTTGGGTATTATTTTATTCTTATCCCGCTGACCATAAATGGGTCATATGATCTCATGTACTGGAGACAGAGAAGGAATAGTTGTACATAGTTTGAAAGGGGAGAACGATAATAAACGGCCAGCAGATGTTAGTGTGATTGTGTCCACCATCAGTTATATTGGTTTCATAAGCTCCTGGGCCATGAATCTGGTCTGGAAGGTGGGCTGGCAGGTTAGATGCCCCACTAGGGTAGCTCAATAACGGGAAGTAGAAAGCTGAGAGTGTAGGCCAGGTACACTCTCCAAAGTTGCGGCCCATGGTCAGCAAGTGTGAGCTTGCCCCCCAACCAAAATGGGGGAATTGAGCTTATTTCTTAATTCATTACCTTCAAGTAGGCCTTTCCTTCAAGTGTTGTGCCCTGATATGAGCACAAAGCCAAGCAGGGACATCCCCAAAGCAAACACAATACAAAAGAAATCTAAGTCTGGTTTCAAGCCAGGCGAAGGTTCATTGCTGTCATGTGCTCATGTGTTCTCCACTCAAAGCTGTCCACGAAACTGGAACGTTCGTTTCAGTCCAGCTTACCTGGAAGCCAACACAATGATCCCCGTGGAAGAAGAACTGAGAGGTAGCCTAACTTCCTCCGCCACAAGGGATAAATAGGCCATCTCAGATGGGAAGGAGAGGCAGAGACGCAGTCTCACCAAAACCCCAGCTCTGGGGAGCAGACACACACAGAAGGAAGCTCACAGGCCTGGAGTTTCTCCGAGGAGAGAGGGGCTCCATCTTTGCACGCTCCCTCTGCCTGGCCAGTGTGGACAGACGCACAGCCAGACCCTGTCGCACCAAGGCCGGGTCCCCAGCGCTCTCCATCCCTGAGGCCCTGCCAGCCTCTCACTCAAAGCTTCCTGGCAGCTTCACTACCGCAGGGGGCCCAGCACATTCCACACAGGTCAAGTTAACTAAGTAGCCAGAGAAACACTGTGTGATTTCACTTCTCTGTGGCGTCCAAAAAAAAGCAAATGAAAAAACAAAACCCAGACACAGAGAACAGATTGGCAGTTGAGAGAGGGGAGGGGGTTGGAGGACGGGCGAAGGGTGTCAGTTGTATGATGAGGCAAGATAACTAGACTTAGGATCGTGATAACTTTGTATGGTGCAAATATCAAATTATTACACAGTGCACCTGAAACTAATGTTTTCTAAACTACTGTTTTCTAAAATCTAAGCAATTTTACCTCAAAACAAACAAACCAAAAAACAAACCACACTTCATTTAAAAACCTTATCTGCTCAGACAGTGCAGTGTTTGTGCAAAGACAGACAAATGGCTCAATGGGACAAGAAGGAGCACATTCTGTGCATAATAACGGGAAGTAGATAGAGAAGAGTATGGAAAGGCAGGACTTTCCAATAAATTGTGCCGGCATAATTACATATCTTCATGGAAAAAAATACACCATACATAAAAACTAATTCCTGGGGGCGCCTGGGTGGCTCAGTGGGTTAAAGCCTCTGCCTTTGGCTCAGGTCATGATCCCAGGGTCCTGGGAGGGGGCCCCACATCGGGCTCTCTGCTCAGCAGGGAGTCTGCTTCCCTCTCCACCCCCCCCAACACTGCCTGCCTCTCTGCCTACTTATAATCTCTGTCTGTCAAATAAACAAATAAATCTTAAAAAAGAAACCCAACAACTAATTCCTGGTACGTTAATGCTGAAATGTAAAAGGCAAAAGTGTAAAGCATTTAGAAGAGAATATAAATAAATATACTGCAGACTTTCAGACAGGAACAGGAATAGGACACAACAGCAGGGAAAATGGACAAATTTAATGAGATTACACTTACAGATTATTTTAAGAAGGACTTGAAGAACTTGTGAAATGAAGGACTTGTTCCTCAAAAAGCACTATGAAGGGGTACCTGGGTGTCTCAGTGGGTTAAGCCTCTGCCTTCGGCTCAGGTCATGATCTCAGGGTCCTGGGATTGAGTCCCGCATTGGGCTCTCTGCTCAGCAGGGGGCCTGCTTCTCCCTCTCTGTCTGCCTCTCTGCCTACTTGTGATCTCTCTCTCTGTCAAATAAATAAATAAAATCTTAAAAAAAAAAGCACTATGAAAAGATGAATCTAAGTCACAAAATGGCAGAAGATATTTGCCACATACATAACTGACAGGACTACCACGAGAATATGGAATACGGAAAGAGCTTCTGTGACTGTGATGTCTGTGAGAGAGGAGGGGAGCCTGGCCGCGAGAATGGTTAGCCTGCGATGTCACCAGCGTCTCTTCTGTTCTCTCTGCTCTTCAGAAGCCGGTCACTGTGACCCTCAGGCAAGGAGAGGGTATTCGGACCACCTTCCGATGACAGGAGTGCCACAGAGTTTGTGGACCTATTTTATTATTTTTTAAAGATTTATTTATTTATTTGAGAGAGAGGGAGTGAGGATGAGCATGTGCTCCTGCAAGTGAGCTGGGGGAGGGGCAGGGGGAGAGAATCTTCTGGCAGACTCCCTGTGGAGCGGGCATCCCATGAAATCATGACCTGAGTCAAAACCAACATCCAGGCGCCCTTGTGGACCTACTAGAAAACAACGACCTTGTCAGCAAGCAACCTTGTCAGAAATCAGGAAAACGCAAACTAATCCTGTAATTAGATGCTATGGATCTTCCACCACAATTGCTGAAATTAAAAAGACAAGTACTAATTATTGGGAAGGATGTGAAGTAATGACTTTGATCACAATTCTTGAGAGTCTAAAGTGACACAGAGACTGTGGAAAACAGCCGGGCTTTAGTAAGCTGAAGATGTGCATACCCTATTGTCCTATATCTCTCCCCAAGAGAAGTAAGTGTGCGTGTACGGCAGGAAACTCGTAGGAGAATTTTCACGTAGTGTTGTCCGTAGAGCCAACAACTGGGAACAACCGGAGTGAACATTTGCACTCACTCGGATAAACAGTGTCCAATGCTATTCAGCAGCTGACAACAGGTCTGAGCTGCAGAAAATAATACGGACGAACCTTACAAAGAGAATTTTGTGAAAGGTAGACACAAAGGAAGCATTTAAGATGATGATACTTATGTAAG